GTCTATTACTAAACTACACACACACCCCATAATCATAGGCGTTAGTATGATTTTTCTCCCTCCCTTTCAATTTTAAAACAAAAGGCTAAGACTGACTACATTAGATGTTTCAAAGCTGCAGAAGGAAAAGCTGCATTCCAGTAAAATATTTCATAGTAAGAACTAAAAACTGTTACTGTCTGCTAATACATGGATGCAAAAATAAGACTGGTATTTTTCAGGAGCACAAAATCCTTTTGGTTTAAAAAAAAACACAATTATGTTCACTAAACAGGAACAGCAAGACAACAAATAACTATGACTGTCTTTGGCAGTCTGACTTTCTGGGAATAACAAACTGTGACAGGAGGTCAGTAACAGCATTCTCACATTTTGCTAAGTAAGTTTTGTCTTTCACGAAACAGATGCCACAGACAGAACAGCATTTATAACTATTCTTTCTGAGACACCAGAAGATTATACTAGCTCATTCTCTTTACCAGAATCCTGTCCCACCATCTATGCTTTCGTTGGTTTCTCTAGAGTAATCCTACTGCTATGAAAGAATTCTTTAATACTTAGAACTAAGTAGTCCCCTAACCATCACTCTTCTAGCAGTGAAATACCGCAATTAAATAACCTTTACCTAAAATCCAGATTTTCTACTTCCTTCAAGATGCAGATCATTGGATTGGAGAGCTGTCCCTCATGACAAATAGATAAAATGGAGACACAATGAGTCTAAATGGGTTAGTTCTCGAATTATCTTTCGGGCAAGAAGCTTTGATTCACTTTCTTTTCCCCAATTTGCTCTGTTCGAGTTAAAACTGAAATCAGAATGTAAAAACATTACCAAACTCTCACACCAAAGACACACGTGACAGGGAGAGCTTCCTTATGTCACCTTTAAAGAATACTGGTGTTTGAGGGAAAGCAGAGCTCCTCTCCGGTTTGCCAGCCACCCCTGGGACTCTCAGACTCGCTCCCCCACAGCCAGCTACCGACAGCTGAGCAGTTCCACAGAACCTTTTCATGAAAGGGTGAAGTCGCGGACGATGGGAGCACGTCTGCAAGGCTTGGCTTTTCTGATCACTCCCTGGGAAGGCTTCACCCAGATCTGTAATTACCTGACTCAAACTAGAGTTAAAAGAAAGGGGGAGGAGGGGAAGGGGGAGAAAAGATAGCTGACTGTTTCAAAAGACACTCTCGAGAGAGTTTACTGTATAGACTGTATAGAAGACACCAAGAAAACTAGCACAGACAGTTTACTTGTGTCATATGTTTACAGGGGGTAAATTGCAGGTGGCTCTTTACCAGAAGGCAACATTCGCCTTGAACATTTGCCATGAAATTACCATTGTTTCGAGTCAAGTTACTATGTCATTACTGCTGAATAACTTAGAGTCAAGTATACAATTAATCCATGTCACCAATGCAGATAATCTGCAAAACATTACAGCCATTTAATCTAGTATTTTTAAAAGGAGGAAGGGGGAAGAGACAAAGAAATTATTAGACTTCCAGTAACCAGAAGACAAAGCCCATTAGTCAGAGGCAAATAAAGGAGAGGAAGCCAGTGAGATAAGATGCAGATCCCCAGGGAGAAGCAGCCAGACAGAAGGAGCCCAGTCAGGGAATTCTGATGAAAACTGTTAAGGGGGTTCCCTCTTTTATTCTTGTGACTACCAAGTCCCTCAAGTGTTTACAGATTGTTCTTTCAGTCTTCGAGAATTCTGGCTACCAATATTCAGCTCCTTCTCTATTTTTAAGAATGAGGATGAAAGAAAGGACTGTTTTTCTAACATCCTATGCCTTTATTTTTACAGTCTCTTCTTACTCAGAGCAGAGCTTTCCTTTTACATTCACTACTAGAGACCCATGTGCCTAATGGAACAATAACATTGTTTCTGCACTTCACAAGTTCTTACAAACTGCCAAAAATCCCACAACGATGGGTTTTATACTACTCCGAGGTTCTAAATTTAATTTATCAACACTTCTCCTGCACCCAGTAAAGAAAACAGACTGCTATGGCGTGGGACAGTTCTGAGAAATACCGAGGGCTCACACTCCTGCTGACGTGCAGCTGTGCCTCTCCTCATACCCAAACCACCTTTACATTGTTTTCTGCCATGAGGAAACACACCCTTAGAAGAGTCATGTCTATCCCCCATTCTTCCACCCCCTTTCCATCTACTTCATATTATTCCCCTGCCCCAATACACATACACACAACATAGAGGATTTTTTTCCTGTTCCTTAAACTGAACCAAAGAAAGTAGCGGAACCAAGCCTCTTCCTGCAGACACAAAATTGTTAGAAAAAGTCCCTTTTGTCTTAGAAGTCTGTCAAACTGTCTGGCAGTCCCTATTGCTCAATATATACTTCTTTAACTAATTTAACTGACAGTCTTCCCGAAGAGCTGTTGTTAGTTTTTCTCTCAAAGCCACCCCTTCAGTTCATCCAATCCCCTTTTTCAATACAATCCATGCTAAATGGAAGTAAAATGCAATTATGAATGAATTTCTAAGATCAACAAATTAAAAGAATTATTGATGCAAATCAGTTAGAATTTGCTATGAACACAATAACGCTCAGCTCCAAAATAAAGCAAGAAACTGTGCAGAGAAGGCACCTAATCCAGTCTTAAAGATGCAGGAGCAGAGTACAGAATACATTGCAGGCTATCAGTCTCAAGATGAAAGCAATTTTAAAAGCATCACATTGAGCAGCCAAGTAATATCAAAGCTGTAAGTTCCCCCATTAATAGTTTTGTAAAATTGTTTAAGGATTATAATCATTCATGCCTGCATACAACTTGCTACTAGGAAATAATCAGAATGTTAGAAATCATGACAAGAGCTGATATTTGCAGTAAGTTTGTAAAGCCATTTGTACTTTGTGAATCCAAACTAATTCAACACAGATCACAAGCTCTCCTTTTTCTGCTGATGTGCAGAAAATCCTTGCTTTAGATTGTGTGCTGCCTTTCATGTAAAGGACTATGAGGGTTTCCCACAGAGCACTAACACACACCTGTGTGGGGAAAGTGTAAGATTTTAAAGACAAACTACAGAACTGACAAGAACATTAGAAATCAGATCTCTTAACTTTCACATGCAGCCATAACCAAGGGACTGCATTTCCTTTCCTGAGGACTCTCTTTTACCAGGGAAACATGCAGCATCGTTCAGATGCACTTGAGAACCAGCACAGGCATTCTTTCTTCCCACTGCTAGCCCAAATAAAACACTAATACCTCAGTTATACATTAACTGTTTAACAAAGAGGCTCTTAAACAGATAATAAGAATGCATTTAGAAGAGATATCTTTTGTTCTCCAAAAAAAGACACAGCGTGCAGCAAAACTGTAACTGCCAGTGATGCCTGTAATTTTCAGAAAGGTTCTGTGGTTTTTGTTTGCACAGCTATACCCCTTTTTTCAGAGCACTTAACCTATTACCCCTTGAAATTCTGCGGCAGACGTTACCATTTAAAAAAAAAAAGTTACCAGCTGTGGATCAATGCTCTATTCCGATACTTGGCATCGGACTGTTCACTTATCAATGTAACATTTTGAAGGACAGCATATCACAGCGTTAACTATTTAAAAGATAATCAATTATTCTTTCCAGCAACCACAGCAGTAATAGGAAAGGCATATTCTTTCAACCAATATTTGCTTGAAACACTGATTGTGCAAGTTACAACTTAAGTTGTTAGGAGTGGTTTATTAGTACCAACACAGCCCCAAAGAGTAAGAGCAATTAACATAGATTGAAGCTCTCACAGGAAGGGCAAACACATTCAGGAGGGGGAGTGAAAGCCAAGGTAAGAGGAGAAGCGGCCGTGCAGAGGTGGTCTGTTCAGATTATGAGAACTATCTCGGGAATAAACTGCTCCGTGTTTTATCACGCTGCCTGTTTCCTGAAAACACTGTGATTACACACCTTCTGGCCTTACACACGTAAAGGCTGGGCACGGGGAATATTCAAACAAAGCGGCCGATGCCCTCAGCCCCGGCGGGGACACGGTGCTGGAGGCACAGGGGCGGCTTGACAAGACACGGTTCAGGGTCCCGCAGATGGCACACCCCAATATTTAAAAAAAAAAATCAGTAAGAAGGAAACAACCCCAAAGCGAGCCGGGACCACTACCTGGGGCACACGGGTCCGAGAGGGGCGGGCTGGGCTCGGCGTCTGCCCCGGCCTGCCCGGAGCCAGACCCCGCAAACACCCACCGGAGAAGCGCCTCGGACGGGACCGCCCCGCGCCGCACCACCGGGGGAGGCGGCGGCTCCGGCTCCCGGCCGGGCACGCCGGTACCGTGGGGCCGTCCCGGCGGCTGCCAGCCCCGGGGGCCGGGCGGGCTGCGGCTCCAGAAGA